AAATATTACTAATTTTTATTTTCAAATATGTTACTTGAAATTAAAAGAGTATTATTCATATATGTTATTTATTTATATTATGCTATGTAAACTTCAAATCATCTAATTTTTCTTCTAAACAAAATTGGCCTTTAGGTAAGTCATGGCAATGAATTTTCTGATTAAGTAATTTTTATGAACCATTCTTTTTGTTTGATTTTCATTCATATGCTGTAGGAAGTGTTCAGTGGAATGGACAAGTTAAGAACATTTATATTAATGGTTTGTCCAAACATTTGTTTCTGTGGAAAAAATAAATACATATCTAATATCAAAGACCATACAAATTTTCTTCTAGACTAGTCATCTGATGTGCAAATGCATTATTCTTATAAATACAAGTTAAATATATATTTAGGATTAAGTTATCATTAGTTACTGCTATTTCCCTTGTCAGAATTAGTGAAAATCGGAGAGGGAAATAGAATATCAATGAACATCATGCTAAAGCTGTAAAGGAATTCATTATTCAATGTTTCTTCTTTCAAAGGATTTTGAAAGTGCGTACATCAGTTAAATACAAATTTTTAAAACCAGCTTAAAAATGTGGACCTTAGTTGAGTCTTAATTGGATTAAGTCATTGCTTTAGGTGGCCCCATAAATGAAAGATACCTGTCTAAGGTCAATGTTTAAGACCTCTGGAATGCTTATTTTTCCTTTTATTCTTCTGTTTGCTCTTACGGCTTTTAGTACATGCCAGTAATCTCTCCATTGCACTTTGGTACACAAAACGTGTTCTCATAGTCTGAATGTGTAACCTTCTGAGAGCATAGTTTCTGTTTGTTTTCTGTTTTGTTACGTTGGATCCCCATTGTCTAAATCAGTGCCTGGTACATAATAATTGCTCAATAAAAATGTATCAAATGAGTTCTAGTTTATTAAATTCTGAAGTGTTTTGGAGTATCTGGTCTTGAAGTGATTTTGATCACTAAAGAAGATGGACAGGGGCCAGCCCGGTGGTGCAAGCAGTTAAGTGTGCGCGCTCTGCTGTGGCAGCCCGGGGTCCGCCAGTTCGGATCCCAGGCGCGCACCGACGCACCACTTGGCAAGCCATGCTGTGGCGGTGTCCCATATAAAGTAGAGGAAGATGGGCATAGATGTTAGCCCAGGGCCAGTCTTCCTCAGCAAAAAGTAGAGGATTGGCAGATGTTAGCTCAGGGCCGATCTTTCTCACAAAAAAAAATAAAAAATGGACAAAAATCAAATATTAGTACAGGTTCCTGAATATCATCTTTTTAAAATATCAGTTCCTCACACTCAATTCACCTGTGAAAATAAAGTGAATTTCTGAATGGCATTTAAACATGCTCACCTAATGTTCAGAAGATACAAATAGTTTGTTTGGAATAGAGACTTTACAATGATTTATCCATGATTATTTTTGATTATTTACTATGGAAAAAACCAGGTACTATTCTAATTACTTAACATGACATTGTCTTATTTGACTTTTAGGACAGTATTTTGAGGGATATCTTCCTGTTCTTAGTAAAGATGAGATCACTGAGGTTAAATAATTTGTTCAGGATGACATAGCTAGCAAGTGGCAGATTCAGGACTGTCTCCAAGCTTTTACTCTGTACTGCCTCATGTATGTAAGAAATAAGCCACAAGTATTATGGATCAGTTATAGTGAAATAAGTCTCTAAGGACCAAGTGTGGATTTTTTTTAACCTAGCTGTATTTTTAAATTAAATAGAAATATGTAGGTTCTTTGGTGTTGTGACTAGAAGCAGAAAATAGATTGCATGATATATTTTTGTCACACATTTGGCAAAGTTTCTGAGTAGGGTAATGATAGAATCTGATTAGCTTCAATAGGATTAATCTGACTGACAAAAGACTATAGGGTAGAGGCAGGGAGAACAAAGGGGGCTATTGCAATAATCTAGGCAAGAAATGATGACTGTTGGACCAGATAATAAATCTTGGACCTTATCGTCGGGCTCCTTTGCCAGTGCTTCATGGGAGGGGTGATAAGTGGTTGAATTTGGAATGCATTTTGAAAGTAGAGGCAACCGTGTTTTTTGAATGATTGGAGACAAGGGAAGGGAAGGGAGGGAGGACAGAAGAAGAGACAAGGATGGTTCCAAGGTTTTGGCCTAAACAACTGGGAAAATTAAGTTGCTGTTTCTGGGATAGAAAGGGAGGCATATCAAACTTGATATTTGACCGTTTTAAGTTTTAGACTTCCAAGTGGAGTCTATTAGTGAAGACTATTAGACAGACTACCAAGAGGAGATGGATGTATCAGACCAATACACAAATCTAAAGGACTGGGCTTGAGATATAAATGTGGGAATTGGCAGTACAGAAATGGTAATTAAAGTCATGGGATTGGATGAGAACACCTGGGAAGGTTTAGTATGGAGAATAGGCTTAAGTCTATGGAGCTCTGAGATACTCCAGAATTTAGAGTTAGGATGAGAGAGAACAACCAAGGGGCCTTAGGAAGAGGAGCCAGTGCAGTGCAAGAATCAAGAGTGGCATCCTAGAAGTTAGGTGAAGAAAGTATTACGAAAAGGGAGAGTGGTCACATGCAGCAGATTCTTCAGATAGATCAAGTCAAGAAAGACTGAGATAAGACCATAGGATTTAAAGTGTAGAAGTCTGTTGATGACATTGACCAGGGAAGGCTCTATTACTTATACAAAAAAGTTTTGAAACCAATCACTTAGAAAATCTCTGAAGTTCTTCTCTAAATGTGTGACTCTAATATAGGCAGACTACCCTATAGTTGTTATATAAATCTGGACATATTATCCAGTAATGTTACATTTAGATATTTTAGTCAGTCATATAAATGTTGATTTTAATTACTTTAACGGTCAACATTTAATTATGTGATTGCCAGATTAAGCTTTTAAAAAATGTTTCACTTGATTTTCTTGTGTTTTAATAAGTTGTTATTATGTGGTGGAAAAGGCATGCACCTTGGAGGTCGTCAGACCCAGGTTTCAATCCACATTCCACCAGTTACTTGTTGTGCAGTCTTAAGTAAGTTAATTTCCCTAAATCTCAGTTTCCTCATTTAGAAAATGACATGATATTAATTATTTTATATGGTTGTTAAGAAAATACAATGGGACAACATGTGAAGCATCCAGTCAATGTCCAGCAAATAACAAAGTAATGTAGTGAATGACATCTCAGGACCCGAAGTCAAATAGACCTAATTTCAAATTCCAGAGTTCACAGGTAGTAGATGTGAAAACCTGGGCAAGTGTCTTCACCTCTCTGAAGCCTTAGTTACCTTATCTAGAAAATGGCTATAATAAAAATACCTACCTTCTAGGATTATTAGAATTAAATGAGATACTGCATGTGAAAGTTTTAAGGGTCTTATACAAACTAAGTGCGTGATAAATGGTAGCTATTATTATTAGTACTTGGTATGGTTGTATTTGTTATTATCCTTGCTGTTATAATTATTAGAATGATAAAACCTTTGTTTCTTACTTCTGAGGGTCTTAGTTTCTAATCAGACTTGAAGTGATGTCAAGCATAGCTTATAGTATTTGTATTTGTTTTACTACCTTTTTTCATAATTTCACTATTGTCATTCATTAGTAATGTTAAAAACCTTAAATGATTAGCTAGCAGCTAGATTATGATTTTCAAAGCCATACTTGTCTCCATATAGGGACATTTAAATGGATAGAGTCCAAAGAAAACTTATGTGATAAGATTTCTCAGAAGCTATAATGTGGATGAACCAGCAGTGGCTATCTTTTAGCCAGTCTGCTTGAAGCTGTGCTTAAAGAATACATCTAAACACACTTTTGGATAAGGCAGCTGTGCTGTGAATTACTCAGAAATTAGAGGTGGAAACAAAGACAGTTTAGATCAGAGGATAAAGAACAGCCTTTACTTGAGAATACCAAGACAGAATTGATGACAAAACACAGACGACTTTATATGCTTCAAAAAGATTGTAGGAATCATCTAATTCAGTTCCTAATTTTATAGATGAGGGGATATTGAATTTCTGAGAGATTTGGTGACATGTGCAGGGTTAAGGCCAAGAAGGAATAATTTTCTGACTCTTAAATACTCTTTCCATTAAAGCATACATGCTTTCATCCATATTTATTGTCAAAAATAAAAATAAAGGAAAATTTTTGGTCCTCTCAAATGACACAATTACGCTTCATACATGATGTAAAATTGAGGACATTGATTTATGTTGTAGATGTCATTTTTTTTCCTCCAGAATTTCTTTTAATAAACAGAAAACCTAGAAAGTGACTTTTGTTTAAAGCAACTGTATGGCAACTAATTCATAAGAAAGATTAACAACAGAAATACTGTGGGAGTCAGTTTTTTAGGAGCAAAATTGCCTGATGGAGATTTGTGTCAGATTTTCTGTTAATGACTGGTATCAACTAATATAGTTCTTATTAGGTATGGAAAACTGCATTTCTCAATGGGGTAAATAGTTTTAATAGTTATATTTTGAAAAAATCAATTTAAATACTCTAATGGAATGAATGCATTTATAAAGCTATCTCCTTATTTTAAAAACATTGATAGTGTGGAAAAAGTGATTTAACATTGGACAGGTCATTTTTCACTTGTTTTAAAGGATGAAGAATCAGTAACTTAGTTGCTCTAGTTTGTACCTTATGCTATCAAGTACGTTTTGCAGTAACTCTGGAAGAATCATTACGTTGTGTGTATGTGTTTGTGATAAACCTTTTAACAAATTATCTTAAGTTTACTCTTACTATTAAGTTGCTTTCTACAGTTTCCAGTAATATCATCAACCAACATTTTCGTCTGTTATTTCCAGTTAACTAATAATTATTTTATTCAAAAGAATTATAAATAGGAGCTTAATTAGTAGATTTTCCCATTGTTTAGCTTCATGGCATAAAACTACAAAATATAAAAAAAAAAACTACCGAAAAATCTGCTTTTCCCCGGATTGTAATTTTTACTTCTTTGTCTTGTTTTATAGAGCTACATCCATGGAAGCAGCCAGGCTCAATTCGTGGCAGAGTCACACATTATTCTGGTACTAAGTATCCTTTAAAATACTGATGAATTGAAAAGGGCTAACCAAAGCTGCATACTATCAAATTGATTTTTTTTCTTGACAATAAATATCAAGACTTTTAAAAGATATTAAATTTTAAACTTTTCCACGTGACTAATTTTCTAATTCCTATGCTAATTATTTCCTATTACAATACAGTTTTGTTTCTATTCTGAGTCATTAACAGACTATAATTCTCTCTTTTTTACCAACTGTTGAATTTCAAAGTATAGCTTTTTCTCTGCATTCATTATCTCTGGCTAGAGTTTTTCCTGAAGTTTATATGGTTTTCCCCTATAAGATCTTAATGGGGAGAAAAAAAGCATCCCATAATATAAAAACCAGGATAAAAAATTAATCTTAGTACTGGTTCCCTTAAATATTATGGTAAGTCAGAAGAGGGAGATTTAGGATAATTAGACTTCTCTTTTTGGAACATACAAGACTAAGTGTTATGAATCAGATAACAGAGTGCAATTTGTGGTTTGGAGATAGAAGGTTAAAGAAGAGGATAGCAAGATAGGAAAGAGATAAGGTTCAAGTGTCTAATTGAAAATATAAACTGAATATTCTTAGAATGAAGTAAAGTTACTTTTTGGGCAAACACCTGTATTTGGGAGGAACACTTATGTTTGTGTGAGTCTTGTGGAAATATTCGAAGGTTAAATTTATAGTGTTGAACGTATTGAGTCATTATCAACATTTCAAGTGTGCATATGGTATCATTTATAAGATTTGATTACTCTCCTGGTTACTAAGATTCATATTCAAATGAAGCAGTCTTGACCAAATTTTCCCTTATTTTATGTAACTGTAGCTGTTAAAACCTTTAAGGATTCTTAGAACTCATCTAGGCCAAAACCTCATTTTATAGGTAGGAACACTAAAACCCACAAAATTTAATTGATTTGCCTTAGGTTAGAGAAAGAACTAGGATTAGAATTCCATTTTCTTTTTCATGGTCTATTGGTTGTACAGGTACTTAAGTTTTATAAATAATATTTTATTATGGTCATGACATAGGATTTACTGAACAAATGTCAGTCACACCATCTTGAAGTTTTTATTTTTAATTGGATGGAAAAGACTCTTTTTTTTTTTCGCTGAGGAAGATTCACCCTGAGCTAACATCTGCGGCAAGTCTTCCTCTATTTTGTATGTGGGTTGCTCCCACAGCACGGGTGATGAGTGATGTAGGTCTGCACCCGGTTATCCAAACCCATAACCTAGGACACCGAAGCAAAGCATGCCAACCTAACCACTATGGCACCAGGCCAGGCCCCAAGACTATCTTTTTAATACCATTAAATTTTTTGTATTTTATTACTTTGTAATGTTATAACAATGCATTTTTTAATCCACCAGCAAATACCTATTTGCCACCTTCAGTCTATTCAGGTAATCTCTTATTTGCATAATTTGTTCTGGACAGTGTATCAGGTGCTGGTATATACTGTGCCTTGCATTAATATTAGTGGAGGAAAGGGGTGGGAAATGCTTGAAGCCCTTCCAGTTCTCAAGAAGCTCACAACCTACCTCATTTGTATAATCAGGGTTAACAAACTAACCACATGGCATTTTGGTGTGGGGTAAATGAGATACCACACATAAATCATCTAGTACTCACTAAAGGCTGTGTCCCTCCGGCCCCCTCATCTCCACCTTATATTTTCTCATCTTCTTCACTCAGAACCTTGCTGGTCACAGGTGACATGCAGGTTGACGCTTTAACATTTAACAAAGGTCTGGATGACCAGAAAAAAACAAAACAAAACAAGCATAGTCCTATGATACTAGAATTCTAAAAGTTACGCTGGGAACATTGAATGACGATTTTTCTGGCGTTAGATTCAGTTCATTCAATCATGTGTAATTAACAAGATAAAAGACACCTTTTGAAAGAAAGAGATTATATGGCTCCATTTTATATTGCAGGGGAGCTAAACACTGAGACTCACTGAGCAACACTGACCGTCTTCTTCCTCTGTATCAGTTCTCAACATTTTTATTCCTTCCACCCTTGCCTGCACAGAGTTGGGTGCATACATGCAATGGTGCATATCTGTAGCCCATTCCTTGCTTGGTAATTTATTTAATTACCCATATGCTTTATGGCTTCAAAGTTAAGAAGCTACTATGATGAGTATTTTTTTTGCTCTAACTTGTCTCATAGATTAGGATTGGAAATAACTGTCTTTGAGTAAAGATTCTCAAGTTTTTTGATCTTGATCAGTAACTACCAGGTTCCTGTTTTCCAACTGTAATATTGTAAGAGATTAATACTTGCGGTACGTCAGAGGAGCCTTAGGTGAGAAAATGAAGTATTTGCAAATATATTTATAGGAACATCTCCTCCTCCTCATTAAAAAATAAGGGCAAGGCCATATTTACTCTTAATTTATCTTTTACTTATATAAATGTATTTATGAAGCAAAATACATTTCTGTTAAAGCACAATAGTAAAAAACACAAAGTATTTATTGCAGGTAACTTTTTAGCTCTTATTTATTTATATATATATTTTCTTTTCTATCTTATTTCCATCCATGATGCAGCATTTTAGCAGTATACTTTATTCAGAGCAGCTAGTCTATTAAACACATCAGGAGTACCTAGCAAAAGGAATGAAAAGCTGTGTCGAGACCGTCATTCCATTGTACGGCAGGAATTCTCCCAGGTTTCATTTCATGGCTCATTGACATCAAGCTGAGATTTAAGATGCAAAGAAATTTCACAAGCAGTATGAAGTCTTCCATATAGATTTTTAACAGTAATACATAAAAGAATTAAAAGTTCTTGTTCTCTTTATGCTACTAGTAATTGTTGCTTTATTTCTCCTGTTATTTTTATTTTATGGATATCTCTAAAGAAGAAAATTTCTTTTAAAATGGTAGACTGATGAAAATCATCAGTAAAAGTTAAAAAGAAGCCATTTTATAAGAATTTCTGATTTGATTTTCACTTGGCACAGTCTACTGATATTTTTTAATCCATGTATTTATTCCATGTATTATTTTATACTTTGCCTGTGTATTTTTCCCTTTATGCAAAAAAATGTAATTTCCAGATGGTTAGTTTTTGTTTATCTGTAGAAACATTTCTGCCTTTTGGTTTTCTTCTCCTAATATAGTAAACCAGATCATTAGATGCAATTGCTATATACAAAATTTTGTTGACAAAACCTCAGAAAAAACAGATGGAGTCATTTGATATCATAGGTTATAGATTCATATTTACTAAGAATAAGATTTTTATCCCTATTAGTAGTGTTTTATTTTCTCAGTACTTTATTTAGGGAAAAAAAAAGAAAGAACAATCCTAAGTAGTCCATGAGAGAAAACTATATAAAAGAGAAATGAGGGACCAGCCCCGTGGCCTAGTGGTTAAGTTGGGCGCGCTGCACTTCAGTGGCCCAGATTCAGCTCCCGGACGCAGACCTACAGCACTCATCAAGCCATGCTGTGGCAGCAACCCACGTACAAAATAGAGGAAGCCTAGCACAGATGTGAGCTCAGGGGGAATCTTCCTCAGCAAAAAAAAAAAAAAAAAAAAAAAGAATAAATATTATGACATTTAAATATAGAATATGTGAACTGTCTAATAATAACTTATGTAATCCTTTACATTTTTCCCAGTAAGAATTCCTTTTTTTTACTTTTCATTTAGTTGTTTCAACACAAATATAAGATATTTGCTATTTACAAGAAGGTAGACTGATAGAAAAATAATTGTAATCCAGTGTGACAGATGCTATAATCAGTGCTTGGAAGCAGCAAGAGAAGAAGGAACAACTAGATGCCCAGAGAAGTTGAACTGACTTTTCAGCTGGGATTTTTATTTTAATTTTTTTTTGGTGAGGAAGATTGGCCCTGAGCTAACATCTGTTACCAATCTTCCTCTTTTTGCTTGAGGAAGATTGTCCTTGAGCTAACACGCGTGCCTCTTTTTCCTCTATTTTTTGTGTGGAATGCCACCATAGTATGGCTTGATAAGCAGTGTGTAGGTCTGTGCCCAGGATCCAAACCCACGAACCCCAGGCTGCTGTAGTGGAGTGCCTGGACTTGACCAGTATACCACTGGGCTGGCCCCTCAGCTGGGTTTTGATACAATAGAAAAAGGAGTTTCCCAGATGGAGAATGGGTGAGGGAGAGTATTCCAGGAGAAGGTACAACAGGTACCAAAACATAAAATGAGAGAGAATATTCAGAAATTGTGAAGGGGAAATTGATGAAAGTTTACTTTAGCTGCATAATGAAAATCTTCCCAGACCCTGCTAAGAAATTTGGACCTTATCTGAATTCACCAAGATATGATCTATGTGTGTCAGTGGATACAGGACACATGAGTTCTAGGATTGGCTTTACTGTCAACTGTATAAACTCTGACCTGTCCCCTAACTCGCCACATCCTTTAAGTACTGGGATCTCAAGATGACATGAGATAAATATTAGTAAATGTGCTAATATAAAAGGTAAAGGTTATACTAGCAATAATAATAATTTTAAAATATTTTAAAATATATGTATTATAAAGATCACATTTGCTTTTCTTATGAGAAAAATATTTGTTTTCCAGTTGTTATGAAAGAGTATGATTTTATTCTGCATTTGTTTTCAATCTGTGATAAAGATTTTTATTTTATTTTAATGTATTATATCCAAGGAGAAACATGCTATAGAAGAAAATTAATGATGAATGCAAGTTGAAGATAATTTTAGATTAGGTCCCTTCAGTCTTCTATAGTTTGCTTTTTTCAACATCTATTCTCATTTTTCTCTAAATTGACAATCCTGATTCTCTTCCTAGGAGCAACAGTAAACTTAACATCATGTGTACTTGAGAATGGATTATAATGTAATGCAAATGTATCTGTCACTAGTTAAGTAGGATGCTCAGTGCCTCTGGGTATTATTTATAATGTACACAAATAGCAGCTCCTGTTTTATGTGGGATCATATCAATATTTTGACTTTTTAAGCAGTAAGG